ATCGTGTCAAGGTCACCTCCGAAAAACTACGGCCAGTTTTGGCTTCTGTTAATTACAATGGTGTTCACATCAACCACATCTCCTCAACCCCCACACACCTTTTTTTCCCACCTCTTCTACCAACGCATTCAGGTTTATGAAATGAAGTTTCGGCTGACAATTTACTATTTTTCTTAGGCAGTTTGTAAGGGGAGATACAGTTTGGATGTTTCTGGTACTGTCAATGAAATTAGTGAGTCTCCTCTGCTTCTCTTCTTCTTGGTTACTAGTTCATTTCTTCCTCTTCAAGAAGAAGAAGAAGAAAATGAAGCAGAAGCAGGGGGAGGGATAGGAGGAGGAGAAATAAAAGGAGGAAGAGGAGGATGAGGAGCAGGAGGCGGAAGGAGCAGAAGCAGAAGAAAGAAGGGACAAGTAAGAAAAAGGAGGAGGAGCAGGAAGAAGAAGGAAAAGGAGGAGGAGGAGGAAGAAGAAGAAGAAGAAGAAGAAGAAGAAGAAGAAGAAGAAGAAGAAGAAGAAGAAGAAGAAGAAGAAGAAGAAGAAGAAGAAGAAGAAAAAGAAGAAGAAGAAGAAGAAGAAGAAATAAATGCTGTGCCTGGTACATATAATAAAGTAGAAAAGAAAGTAGAAAAGAAAATACTGGAGGCCTGTGTAATGCATCTTGTGAAATTCCTTTAAAGAAAGATCCCAGCAGTACGAAGATAAAACCTGCGAGATAATCTAGATAATCTGGCATCATGGGGCAGGGAGAGTGATTACACAAAGGTTGTTACATAATCTTGACAGATCACTGCAAACCGAGCCCAGCATTTGTTGACGGTTCGTGGTAATACCAAACACATTTACGTTCAGCAGTCTTCTACTGATCACTCAACGGTCGGCGCTTAATGCCTATGTCGAAAATCAACGCAAGACGGCCAAACCACCTGCAACTGAATCAAACAAGGTATTTCAGAATTACAAATCTTGTTCGTAGCTTATAAGCCTTAGCCGCCAAAATGAAAAGTGAAAAGTCGAGAGGATCGGCTTCATTGCACCGGGTTTGCGAAACGTGTAACAGGGAGAGTTCGGGGAAGTAAAGACGGCCGACATGATGCTGACCACACGTACCACAAAGTGCCAACTGGTCAGTAAAATCTAGGTCTAGCCCTATATGTCCTATACGCCTGAAAGCTTGGAAAGGTCCTTTACATTATTTCACTTCTAATGCTCAGTGATGTCATCCAATGACAAACCTCATTCTGACGTGTGGCCATGGAACAATGACTGGGTAGTCAACATACACTACTACATTGAAAAATCATACAGGAGACATGAAGCCTTATTACGAATCTTTCGCCGCCATCAAAGATGCAAACAGCGGGGAATGGAGGATGGGAAGCAACAACGAAATTTATCATCTGTTTAAATCACCACTGATCACTGGCATCGTGACTGTTAACAGACTGAAATGCATGAGGCATACTGTGAGAATGGCAGATGACAGAGAAGTAAAACCTGTCTATACGAGCGAGCTGAATGGTGGTAGACCAAGAAGACGATGGAGAGATAAATATCCAGACAGACCTGCAAACACTTGGTGTTACCAACTGGAAAGAGAAGGCCACCAGAGAGGTGAATGGGAGCGGGTGATATCTGCAGCAGTGAACCTCAATGGCTCAGAATAGTCAAGAAGATGGAGTGAAGAATAGGGGGGTGGAGCGGGGAGACACATACTACTCACACTGACATACAAGACGGCAGAAGCAACAGAACAGTTCCTGTTTCCTTCCTGCTTGCCTAACCATTCACCTGCAAACATACGATCTCTTTCGCCAAAAATCCCACACCTAAACCTTGAGTAAGTTTTAATACTGTAACCGCTGTTGCATTTCGTCAAAATCAAAACCTTATAAGAATCTTTATGCTTGGGAAGTGATCAGCATTAAATATTTAGCAGCATTTACATATTACACAATGTATATTGCCCAATGCACTATTCTCACAATTATAATTATGATAAGGGAAGCTGATCAGATCATGAACCCTAGCATCGTTCATTTCTCATAAAAAAGCAAATAAATCTCATTACAATCTGCGTTCGTAACACCTGTATGTATGAGCGCGACAGAAGCCACATGTTTAGTATAGAAACTGATTATATCTATACAACAATATCAGTGGGATTTTCACATGTAGCAATCTCATGCTTGATCATGGGGACTACAATCCTGGAGGTGACAAACGACAAACAACGCGTTAGCGGCCCTCATCTCGCTGCAAGTTTGAAAGGAGGTTGTTCTTCTTCGCACACTTAGCAGCTGTCAACACAAGTGGACAATTTTGGTCGTTTGTCCATTTCTGGACTTAGGGCTCTCCTTGCAGATCCGGACGAGGGTTGGACGACTTAGTTCAGTTGAGTGGGAGTTCTCTCCCTTGGCCACACTCGAAACAGTGAGAGGAAAAGTCACGAAACAAATGACATACTTATTTATCATCATACGGTTGCGTGTAAGGTTGCGTACGGTTGCTGTTAGGGTTGCGTAGTCATCATACGGTTGCGCGAAGGGTTGCGTAGTCATCATACGGTTGCGCGAAGGGTTGCCTAGTCATCATACGGCTGCGTGTAGGGTTATACCTATCATCATAAGGTTGCGTGTAGGGCTGCGTACGGTATGGGTTCGGGGTTAGGGTTTAGGGGTAGGGTTTTGGTTAGGGTTAGGGTTTAGGGGTAGGGTTAGGGTTAGGGGTTGGGTTAGGGGTAGGCTTAGATGTGATAATTTTGACGTAGGAGTTCCAAATACTTGGCCGACAATCTGATGCTTGTGGGAGTGGCGCCACTGGAAGTCTGTCAAATATGACCGCAATAGCGCGCAGCTGGTGCCCAACCGGTGGCGACGTGTTCGTGTCAGTAGCATCCACAGTCCGTCGACTGTTTAGGTGTGTATGTGACAGTGCGCGATTATTGGGAATTCCTACGTCGTCAAAATTGTCACATCTAACGCTAAACCTAACGCTAAACCTAACCCCTAACCCTACCCCTAACTCAACCCCTAACCCTAACCCCTAACCTTAACCCCTAACCCTACCCCCTAACCCTAACCTTACCCCTAACCAACACCCCTAACCCAAACCCTACGCAGCCCTACACGCAACGGCATGATGGACTACGCAGCCCCTCAGGCAACCGTATGATGACTACGCAACCCTACAAGCAACCGTATGATGACTACACAACCCTACACGCAACCGTATGATGACTACGCAACCCTAAACGCAACCCTACGCAACCTTACACGCAACCGTATGATGATAGGTAAGTATGTCATTTGTTTCGTGACTTTTCCGCTCACTGTTTCGAGTGCGGCCAAGGGAGAGAACTCCCACTAAACTGAACTAAGTCGTCCAGCCCGCATCCAACCCTCGTCCGGATCTGCAAGGAGAGCCGACTTTAGTATTGTTTCAGAACTTGAGTTCTACGTCAGCATCCGTTTACAGATCTTATCTGTATGCAAACTGTCACTTACTATTTTGTTAAAAAAGGGTCTAACTGAAACCCTACGTTTAATCTCCTGTCTTCTACGTCATCTTTGTCTCCACCGCTGCGTATCTTTTGATATCGTCCCTAAGTGCATCCCATGTCACATTAACACCAGTATTTAACAATCTAGTCGGCTCTGTGTTCGTAATGCCGGGTCCGATCCCAGCTGCGGGCCATGCGCCTTGCGATGGTTTCGAAAGAGGTGTCAAGAAAGCCGACCGTCCAATAGGCAATGGCAAACTACTGTAAATTTGCCTAAGAAAAACCACATAACAGCCAGAGCTGTTGGGGTTGGTTCTGCAACGTCCTGTAAAGGATGCGCAACTAACCAACCATTTAACAATCTGGAAAACATCACATCTACTGGGTTTTCAGGGGAGATAATAGTGAAATATATTTTTTTCATTATCTTTTCAAGGAAAGTAAATGAGAACATATTCAAAGGGGTATAACTCCAGTAAAAGTTTACGGATTGTTGCAATAAATAATGGAAATGCGCATAAACCTGACTGTCAAGTGTGATTGTTAATTTTAACATTATAGCAATTTAAAAAATGTATCCCCTGTGGTAGTCACAGGTTGGGATGAGTTAACAGCTGAATTAAAATTACACAAACTACTAAAAATGTTTGTAGTTATGAATACAGATTACAATTGCCGCGCGAAAACAAAATTTGATTTTGATATCATCACTAGTTCATTCCCATAAAGAACAAACCAACCCTATAATCATTCATTTCCTATGATCTGCGTGTGGATCCCAATTTTGCAGGGGAAAGGATAAGATTCAATGTCCCTTAATGTGTAAAAAGTGAGTCATTAAGGCAGGGCTATTTAACTAAGTTGGCTTAGGGCCAAACTGTTCAAAAACGGGGATCCCCAGTGACCTCAGCCCCAGCATAGAAATATCGAAAACACAAAACAGCTAGAAGTTATCCACCGACCACTTGATAGACCTTGGCAGGCCGCCAGTTGAGTAGCCCTGCATTAAGGTGTCCCTGAAATCAGAACTTTTTACCGCTTTTTGAAGGGCAAACACAGAAGATATTCCTTGACTAACACGGTCACCATTCATTTCTCATGATGAACACACTGAACTACCATCCATGTCCCATAATAAACACAATAATACTATTCTTTTCACGTGGCGAACACGTTAACACTATATAACATCATTCACTTCTTTTGATGAACACACTTTCACCATTCATTATAAACATACTATCACCATTCATTTCCGATGATGAATACACAAAGCTATGACCATTCATTTCCCATGATGAACCCACCAGCCCCATAAGCACATGAACAACAACAACTGATGACTTAACAGGAACCGTGATAGTATGTACTTACATGTGCTGTTTATGATAATCCATAATCTTGGCCATAATCCATATCCCATAAAGAACCCACCAGCCCCATGACCACAGAAACACACAACAACTGATAACTAACAGGAATCCTGAATGCATGTACTCACACGTGCTGTTTATGATAATCCATAACCTTGGCCATAAACTCATGGGTCTGCAGATGTTCGGGCAGGAACTTGAACACAGCCAGGTAGGTGGGGTCCTGGTACTCATCGATGTCAAAGTCGCCAATCTCGCCCTGGACGATGTAGGAGGCTAGCAAGGCAGCGGTGTTCTCGCTGCACCTGAGCTCTCCTCGCAGGAGGTCCTTGCGGATTTGTAAGGCAAATAAATATCTGGAAACAAGATGTTCAGATACCAGAATTGTGTGTGCTGAGCTTTTATCTCACTTCAAAACCTTGGTGGGTGTGTGTGTGTTGGGGTGCGTGTGTATATGTGCGTGTGTGCCTGTGCGTATGATTGGGGGACAGAGGGGAGGGGGTTAAGCGTTTTAAAAAAAAACACCAGAAAAAGCAAGTGAGAGAGTGTGTGCTAAAGAGCGAGAGTCAACAAGAGAAAGAACATGGGGAGAGAATAATAATACAAGAGAAAGAGAGGGAGTGAGAAAGAGAGAGGGACAGAACGAAACAGAAGAGAGAGCGAAAGAGAGATCAAGTGTTAAAGAGAGAAGAAACAAAATGTGGCAGTGAAAACAATACAGAAAGAGTATGTAAGAGAAGAGAATAGCAGTGAGAGAGAGAGAGAGAGAGAGAGAGAGAGAGAGAGAGAGAGAGAGAGAGAGAGAGAGAGAGCAAAAATCAAGTGTAAAAGACAGAAGAGAGTGGATGACAGAGAGCGACAGTAAACAACAGAGAGAGCGAGTGAGCAAGAGAAGACAATAATAATAATCAGTACAAAGAGAGGGACAGACAGAGTTAACAAAAGAGATAGAATGAGCAAGTAGAAAGAATAACAGCAAGAGAGAAAAAGAAAAGACAGAGAAAGAGTGACCGAGAAAACAGGGCGGAGGTAGTAAAGTGAGAGCATGAATATATATATTTTTTTTAAAACAACCGAGCATGAACAAGAAAAGATAAACAGTCAGAACAAATAAGAATAAGAAGAGCCGAGGGAGAAAGCTACAGTGAATAATAAAAAAAATGAACAATTACGAGAATAAAAGAGTGCAAGAGAGAAGAGAAGAGAGACAGAGAGAGAGAGAGAGAGAGAGAGAGAGAGAGAGAGAGAGAGAGAGTGCGAGAGAGAGAGAGAGAGTGCAAGAGAGAGAGAGGGAGAGAGAGAGAGAGAGAGAGAGAGAGAGAGAGGGAGGGAGAGAGAGAGAGAGAGAGAGAGAGAGAGAGAGAGAGAGAGAGAGAGAGAGAGAGAGAGCAAGTACAGCGAGTGATAGAGAGCAAGAGAGTGGGTGGTAGAGAGCGAGAATCAATAACAAGGAAAGGATGCACAAGAGTAGAGAATAAACGTGACAAAGAGACTTGAGACACAAACCCGCAAGGGAGAAAGGCAGGAAATATGGGAAGATGCAAGAATATCCAAGCAGAGAAACGTACCTGGTGAGCTCATCCTCGAGCAGCCCAGGGTCGGGCGTGTAGAACTTGACACAGAAACGGAGCGGTATATCTGGCGAGCCAATCTGTTTGAGCACAGCCTTGTCTTTGTCCAACCAGCACTGCAACAACAAAACACAGCGGGAGGCCATCAGCAAAAAGTGACATCATCATCATCATCATCATCATCAATCCTGTTTATGCCTAGTGGCACATGAGGCTTCATAGTCGACTTTCCAGGCTTTCCTGTCCTGTGCAATGTTCAGTGCAGTTTTCCATGTCAGAGATGCCGTACTCAGGTCACTTTCCATCGTTCGCTTCTATGTTTTTATTTTATTTTTGCCCCTTTTATCTCTTTCCCTCTGGTATCCATGTGAGAGCTGTTTCAGCGGGTATATCAGGATTCATTTTCATAAAGTGGCCAGGCCATTTCCATCTTCTCTTTGTTATCATACTGTCTACAGTTTCTTGATTTGTGACTTGAAGTACAGTGAAACCTCGCTTAACGAGCATAATTCGTTCCAGAATCATACTCGTTAAGCGAAACACTCGTTATGCGAAGCAATTTTTCTCATATAAATTAATGTAAAATACGATTATGCATTCCATGTCGAAAAAAATACTTACAAAATGCTATGTATAAGTTATACTATAACATTTATTCAAAGAAAATTATATACATTTTTAAGTGAGTGAATCATCTTCATCTTTTCTTCAAACGCGGAACGAACCCACATGGAATGCGAATTCGATTTGCAGAAAAAAAAGTCGAAATAATTATGATACATAGCTAATTATTTTTTTTACTAGAAAGATGTCCAGAGACATTTGTTTTTGTCGACGCTTCAAAATTTGGCGAGAATGCGACACAGCATTATCATTAAATTTGCAGCGCGCATGGCCACTTCCTTATTAGGGTGATGAATCTCAATGTGAGAAGCACAGTTTCCCATGCTTTCAGCATTTTTCTTATTTCGCCAGAAGATTGTTGCTTTTCTGTTACCTCCTCCTCCTCCTTTGACAAACTTTCCTCCAAAACTTATTGCTGTGAAACACAATGCAACCCCATAAGCTCTTCGATGGTCAGCTCTTGGCTGTGCTCTTCCACAAGCTCTTCGATATCACTGTTATCCACCTACAATCCCATGATAGTGGCCAAAGACACAATCTCGTTGACTACAGGTTTCACTGTCTCGGACCCCTCAAAGTCACAAATTGACAACACTCTTCGGCCAAAGCTTCCTCCAAGAAGAAGTTAGGGTTCTATTGATAACCCCTTCCCCCGCCTTGTCGGTCATCTTGAGGTAGGCGAAGATGTGCAAATGATTTCTCCAAAACTCTTTCAGGGTGAGGTTGGTCCCTTCAGTCACCTGAAAACAATGCTCGAAGAGTGCTTTTGTGTAGAGCTTCTTAAAGTTAAAAATAACTTGCTGGTTCATTGGCTTGAGTAACGGAGTGGTGTTTGGAGGCAGAAACTAGATCTTCATGAACTTAATTTTTCAGGGAGGTCATCTTGTAGGCCTGGAGGATTCATGTACATATATTACAATATAACACACAAGTTTGAGAAAATGTGTGATCACAAGCGACGATACCACTTGAATGAGTGCTTAACACTGATGTAACATGCGCACAATCCGGGTCTTCCCCTCTCCTCGCCACTCGTTATGCGAAACGTCGCTCGTTAAGCAAGTCATTCTTTTACAATTTGTTTTGCTCGTTATGCGAATTACTCGTTATGAGAGATGCTCGTTAAGCTAGGTTCTACTGTAGTTTAGTGTTTGAGACTGTTGCCCAGTAATTCACTGTGGTCAGTAGTCAGGCATGGAAAGTAAAGGACCCTGCTCACGCCGGTTCCCAATCAGGCATATGATGCCGGATATTTTTTTTAAAAGACTGACTGGCCCTGGATGCGCCCATCAATACAACTCCGGTAGCCTTCACTTCCCAGGACTCTACCTGGTACCCTCTGTAGACTGGGAGTCAATGCCTTGTTTGAATTTGAACCCAAGATCTCGGGGCGGAGGTGAAGCAACTAGCCGCGGTATCACCGCAACTATACGTGTATCGGAACCCGCTTTTAATGCAATGATGTGCACTAAATGTACTTAGCGATTAACATATTTTTATATCAATAGCACATTGGGTGTATAGTATGAATCTGATTTGAAAAAGGAAAAAAAAAATTGAATTTGGCATGGGAAACTGTGCTTCTCACATTGAGATTCATCACCCTAATAAGGAAGTGGCCATGCGCGCTGCAAATTTGAATTTGTTACTGCTTAAGGGGTCAAATTTATTTGATTTGGAAAGAAGGGGGTGGGCGGGGGATAAATTTGGCTTGCCAATCCTGTGCTACTACCATATTAGATGCTCCTTGTCCTTATCGACATGCTAGCACATGAGTCCGAACCATTCCTGCTTCGTCCTCGGATGTAGCAACCACCTTAAGCGTCTCCACTCTTAACGTACCCCAATAGCAGTTGATTAGCATATCTTCTTTCTTCACCCCTGCAACAGGTTCCCACATGCTTGTCTTTGATTAATACCCCCATTTTCAACAGGACACGACTCCTTTTGTTTTAAAACCTCTAGAACGCAGCACTTCCACCATATGGAAAGACTACAAGCTTCCAGTCAAGAAATTCGCTTAAGTGCTTCTGTTCTGCATGATTTGGCAATAGTGCTACACAAAACAAAAGTAAGCAGCTGCAAAAGACACCAACGGCGTTCCGAGCATAAAGTGTCAGACTAACATCTGTATAGACCAATCAGGGTTCAACGGGTGACATGGTCAAAGCACGTGGCCATGTTTACGTCCCGTGGGCATTTCCTGGTATTACTGTCAAAATGGGTCCACCTGAAAGCCCAAAGTCAAAAAGCAAATTCTGCCCATAAAATAAGATCCTTGGGTCTGATGGCAAGCGGCTGGCCTATGTCCTACCATGCGCTCCACTGGATATTATGGCATACCAAGTAAATATTCCAGAAATAAGAGAGAGTCAGTCCACCTACAATCCAAAACAAGGGCAATGAATAATGATAAGACTCCGTGTGGTGTCAAGGACATCAAAGAGGAGAGGGAGGACGGACAGACAGACAGTCAGACTGACAGGCCGACTGCTCCCTTACAAACATATTGCTAAAGTCGACTAATTAAGGGTTTTCTTAAACTAGATCTCTTCCGTATAAAAGTTCTTATATAACAGACTTGGTGCAAACAACAAAACGTGCAAACACAGAAGGAGGAAAGGAGCAACAAGAGGAGGAGGAGGAAGAATAATAATAAGAAGAAGAAGAAGTAGAAGAAGAAGATGAAGAAGAAGAAGAAGAAGAAGAAGAAGAAGAAGAAGAAGAAGAAGAAGAAGAAGAAGAAGAAGAAGAAGAAGAAGAAGAAGAAGAAGAAGAAGAAGAAGAAAGAAGAAGAAGAAGAAGAAGAAAGAAGAAGAAGAAAAAAGAAGAAGAAGAAGAAGAAGAAGAAGAAGAAGAAGAAGAAAGAAGAAGAAGAAGAAGAAGAAGAAGAAGAAGAAGAAGAAGAAGAAGAAGAAGAAGAAAAGAAGAAGAAGAAGAAGAAGAAGAAGAAGAAGAAGAAGAAGAAGAAGAAGAAGAAGAAGAAGAAGAAGAAGAAGAAGAAGAAGAAGAAGAAAGAAGAAGAAGAAGAAGAAGAAGAAGAAGAAGAAGAAGAAGAAAGAAGAAGAAGAAGAAGAAGAAGAGAAGAAGAAGAAGAAGAAGAAGAAGAAGAAGAAGAAGAAGAAAAGAAGAAGAAGAAATGAAGAAGAAGAAGAAGAAGAAGAAGAAGAAGAAGAAGAAGAAGAAGAAGAAGAAGAAGAAGAAGAAGAAGAAGAAGAAGAAGAAGAAGAAGAAGAAGAAGAAAAAGAAAAAGGAGGAGGAGAAGAAGAAGAAGAAGAAGAAAATGGAGAAGGAGAAGAAGAAGAAGAAGAAGGAGAAGAAGAAGAAGAAGAAGAAGAAGAAGAAGAAGAAGAAGAAGAAGAAGAAGAAGAAGAAGAAGAAGAAGAAGAAGAAGAAGAAGAAGAAGAAGAAGAAGAAGAAGAAGAAGAAGAAGAAGAAGAAAAAGAAAAAGGAGGAGGAGAGGAAGAAGGAGAGGAGGAGGAGAAGAGGAAGAAGAAAAATAAGAGGAGAAGGATCATGAATGTGATTAAAGATGGGAGGTGGACGCCAAGATTAGGGATGAAGAGAAAATTATTCTGCAGCGGCAGGAAAGGTATGAACAGGAAAAGAACACAAATCTTTGTAAGCCAACACTCACATCATCGCCATTGTGGTTTGTGTATTCTAGATCAAAGTAGTCAGCCTCCAACAGCTGGAGATGGTTGACCACTGCCTCCCAAAGAAGTAATCCCACGCCTTTCACCTGCAAGCAGAATCAAAATAGGCGGCTGTAGAATAAATATGGCACATATTGTTGATTATGTTCCCCCTGGACATCCTCTGTAAACCTTCCAACGCTGAAAGTAAAAAAGTGGCATTTTTTTTTTTTTTACACCTGAGCTGAATTGATTTTAAAACTGGCATCAAGAACTCGGTATTTCCCATAAACACTCCGCCCCCATCTTTAGCAGCCATAGTAATGTTCCCCCTGGACATCATCTGTAAACCTTCCAACGCTGAAAGTTAAAAACTGCTAAGTTTTTAGATTTTCTAGATTTCTGTCTGATTTATCATCAATCTAGCTTACAGTATGATTTAATGTCAATCTAGCTCACAGTATGACTGTACGTCAATCTAGCTTACAGTATGATTTAATGTCAATCTAGCTTACAGTATGACTGTACGTCAATCTGGCTTACAGTATGATTTAATGTCAATCTAGCTTACAGTCTGATTGTACCTCAATATAGCTTACAGTATGATTTAATGTCAATCTAGCTTACAGTATGATTTAATGTCAATCTAGCTTACAGTATGATTGTACGTCCGTCTAGATTGCAGTCTGATTGTACCTCAATCTAGCTTTCAGCGCGACTGCACGTCAATCTAGCTTACAGTGTGATTGTGCGTCAATATAGCTTACAGTCTGATTGTATGTCCGTCTAGATTACAGTCTCATTGCACGTCAATCCAGCTTACAGTCTGATTGTACCTCAATCTAGCTTACAGTCTCATTGCACGTCAATCCAGCTTACAGTCTGATTGTCCCTCAATCTAGCTTACAGTGCGATTGCACGTCAATCTAGCTTACAGTCTGATTGCACGTCCATCTAGCTTACAATCTGATTGTAGGTCAATCCAGCTTACAGTGTGATTGTGCGTCAGTCTAGCTTACCGTGTGATTGTGCGTCAGTCTAGCTTACAGCGTGTTTGTACGTCAATCTAGCTTACCGTGTGATTGTACGTCAATCTAAGTTGCTGCCCCGGTGTATATATTATGTATATATGTATATCTACGGCTTCAAGGGTTCCCCCTAAGTTAATTTACGTGAAAGACGTCTAACACAATGGCACCTACCAATCAAATGTCTTTCTTAAATGTTCATGTATTCTAGACAAAGCATTACGGTTTGCTGTGCTCGTAAATTTTTGATGTATTTGTTATTCGACCTATGCTTCGTTATTATAAATTTATGTAACCTATGGTGCCGTTTAAATGTTTTGAGATTATTTCTGCCCGTATTCCATAGCTGTGGATTTCCAGCGGAACGACAGACATGACAACTAAGACACCTTTTTTTTGGAGGGGGGGGGGTGGTTAGCTGGTTGTTTTCTTAGTATACTTGTTTTCATAGCGAGGCGCACACGCCATTTGGAGGTGACAAGTTCGATTCCCGGCACGACAGCTACTGATTACGATTTATATGCTGTCAAGTGTGTCCTTCTGCCTTTCTACTTCTTTCTATGAGTGCCAATCAATACACTGTCTCTTTGTTGATTTTATACATATAAAATTCTCTTCAGACCGTGAACACCTACTTTGTCCTGCCGTATTGTTCACTCGATACCAAATGACCCTAACCACGTGTTGCTTGTTAGACATCAATTTACCATCAAATCGCGCAGAACCAGACAATCTGCCTTTTCATTTCCCAACACACCTGAATACCATGGAGAAAGTATCCAAAGGACGCTAAGCACCTTTTACTGTCTCAGAGAGAATTTTGCAAACCAACCCCAAGGTTTGTTGGCTGCTGCATGACTGTAAGTGACAATTTTGTTTAGTAGTTTGCCACAGCTTTCGGAATTGAATGACGCTATAATATCTTTGTAAAAATCAATGCAAAGTGTTTTGTTACCAAATCACCTGCCCTTGATTTTAAACATGGCTGAAAGTGTTAGGGAAAATAACAACAGATAAAACAAAGTAATGTTCCTCTGTTGTAAGGGACAGTAATGTTATCTTATTTATCCACAGGCTCGCCACATTTCTCCCAGATTTACGGTACCTATCATGAAATCAAGGCCAAAGGGGTTGCCATATCTATAGTACTGAGCCAGAGGTTTCCGGATATTTAAAATCTCCTTTTATCTGATAATTTTTCCACGCACATGGAACAATTTTTTTTTTTTTTTTGGAACATTGTTTTATCTGTTAATTTAACTAACTCTGTAACAGCAAGTAATTTCGATTTTGATGAATCCGATAATTTAACTGTGTGTGTTTAATTAAGACAGTTGTTATTTTGTGACAGAAACTGTTAACTGAGAGAGCTGAAACCATGGATTTAGGAGTTTTCATTTCTTACTTCGTATTTTTATTTAAATATATATATATTTTACTTACGTTACCCGTAGCTGTTCTTATTTTATTTATATAGATTTTTTTTTATTGTGAACATTGAAGTTTCATTTTGATTTCATTATCTCCTGTCATACAAAGTTGGAACTGCGCTGTGTGGTTTACCAAAGACTTCATTTCGTGAGTATAGTGTATTTTTTTCTTTTTTCGTTGTTTTTCACTGTTTTTTTTTTTTTTTTTTTTCAACTCCATCGCTGAAGGAGATAGTAGTGATCGGTGGATGGGATAAAATAAGTGAGAGAAAGACAGCGAGAAAAGAAGAGAGAACAGTACACAACCGTTTTAGAAAGACAGAGAGGAGGGAGGGAGGGGGAGAGGGAAACGATGGAGATTTATTTTCAACCGCCTTACATTTTAAAGGAATCAGCACTGGTGTTAGCCATACTATATAATCTCCCTGTGTTCTGATCCTCGTTTTTTTTAAACTTAATAGGCAGCTCTAGCTTAATTACGTGTGTGGCCAGAATTCTTCTTCTTCTTCTTCTCCTCTTCTTCTTCTTCTTCTCCTCTTCTTCTTCTCCTCCTCCTCCTCTCCTCCTCCTCCTTCTGTTTCGTCGTCGTCTTCTTTTTCTTCTACTTCGCGTTCACCGGCTATAAACTTCAGCGAAAATATCTACTTGTTCACTTACTTCTGGACTTCCTATCTTGTTTCATTACTTGAGATGTGCGTGCATATCTATTTTACAGATCGAGTTTATTTGTGTGAGGAGGCTGTTGGTTCCTCGCCCCCCTGGGCAGCGATTCTTCGTCCGGGACTTAATCACGGCTATGCAAGAGCGCCGACTCAAAAGAAAGCATTGAAGTGGCCTAAGCAGAAAGCTGGTGCCGACCCTGGCACGACCATTATTTTGGCTAACCACAGTGCCGACTGTAACCACCTACCAGACGACACATCAACAATGTTACTGTTCTTCGTCTTGTCTCTACTCCCGAAAGCCTCGCGGCCAGGGCTGAAAGTATGATTTTTTTGAAAAACCCAGCTTAGCTGAACAAAAACCCAAGCAATACATAGATAAAGAACAACAACAACAACAACAAAAACACATATTGTTAAAATGTACAACATTTATATTTACGAAACGAAAAATGTACCACTTATATAAAAGGATATATTTAAAAAAGAAAAATACCAGATTCCAGATCCCCCCCCCCCCCTTCCCGGCATCAAATAAAAACCCAGATCCCGGAGAAAAACCCAGCATTACGGCGTCAGGGCAGGAAGAGATCTCTGAAAACGGCCCTTCTATTCGCTGCCTCTGATATTTCTGCAGTCCATATTTTCTGCGTGGCCGTTGTATCTGTATAAAACATTGCTTTCTGTGTGGTGCCCTGTCTGATGACAATCTTGCTACATGACCAAACCATTTGATTTGTTGTCTACCTATAAAGTTCAGTACTGGTTCTGTGCCGACTCTTCTCTTGATATCAACGTTCCTAAGACGATCTTTCCTCGTTACAGCTAGCATAGTACGTAAAACCTGCATTTCTGTCGTGACAATGTTAAACAATGATAGCCTAGCGTTGGTAAGAATACTGCTATGAAACGTAAATTACAAGACAGAATCATAAACAACCAGAAACACAAGCGTGTAAAGACAAAATGGCGAAAGTGTCCTAAGGATGGACTCAATAGTGCCCTCTTACTGTAGCTCAATCACGGGTTTTAGGACAGCTGGCACGCTATGGTAATTGCATCCTGGTCAATACGGACCGGACAGGGCGGTGGGGTTGCCAGGGTAACTAGTCCAGAAAGTGGACACAAAGTCAGGCTCCTAGCTATGATGCTGTCGGGGTCAGTGGGGCATGGGCTTCGAGTTTCTTTCTTTTGGCCGTGCACTGTCCTTATTTCTCAACCGCCCCACCTCTCTCTCTCTCTCTCTCTCTCTCTCTCTCTCTCTCTCTCTCTCTCTCTCTCTCTCTCTCTCTCTCTCTCTCTCTCCTGACTGATTTACTTTCTACCCCACCAGGACATCAAAAGTTAGTTGCGTATCCATTACGCAGAACCAACCCCAACAGCCCCTAGCTGTTGTGTGGTTTTTCTAGGCAAATTTACGTCCAGTAGTTCGCCACTGCTTTCTGGCGGTGGGCTTTCTTGATACCACTGTCGAAACCAACGCAAGGCGCATGGCCCGCAAATTGGACCGAACCCGGCATCCCGGCATTACGAAGCGTTCGCATCGACTTAGCCACAGAGCCGACATGAGGACATCCCACAAGCGATAAACACCCGATGACACAAAGTGCCACCATGTGGATGAGGATCCACCGTGGAGAAGTCCCGGAAACCGTGTTTGACAGCACGTCCTTTAAATGGAATATTCTAGCAGACATTTCGCTGGGCAGAGCTGTCGAACCCAGACCACTGTATACGAGCACTAGAAAGCAAGCGGGCTGTCCAAAATGCTGGTTTCATTCCTGCTAAATACATCACGATAAAGATAAAGACAGTCAGACAGCAGTTAAGGCAATCCAGGTCTGAAGTAGTATTTTTCTACGTTGGCCTTTTAGAAGGGCGACACGTTATTTACAGCCAACACATCAGATTTTAACAATCGCCTAATTAGTGCTCTAAGGACATGCTTGTGTATGTGGGTGTGGAAGGGCGGATGGAGGGGTTAGTC